ACTGATTTATAGTATTAGAGATCAGACTTCTTTCCAAAGGCTGGAAATACTGATTTATAGTATTACAGATCAGATTTCTTCACAAAGGCTGGAGACACTGATTTATAGTATTACAGATCAGATTTCTTCACAAAGGCTGAAGATACTGAATCATAGCATTACAGATCAGCTTTCTTCACTGGCCTTGGAGGAGACGTTTGGAAAAATTCTCAAGTTCAAGATAAGCCATGCCTACTTTTGAAAGTTAAATGGTGTTGCTAAGTGACAGTTTTAAGTTGAATGGCATGCTTATAACCAATAGAAATAGCAGATTTCTCACTGTAATGTCTCAAGCTTAGCAGGAAGTGTGAGCAATAGATTAGTTTACAAATAAAGAGCAAACAGCAGATAAGTCCAATGTTAAGATCAGTGTCCTTGTCTACATTATACATATTAGTGTGATAGATAGTTAAACTGCATTTAGGTTTTTACTTTTATATCTTAGTTAATTATGTATTAGTTGTGTTTTAAAATTTGAAAGATTTAATGATTTTTTTAAATATTTCTAATTTTCTCCTCAAGGTCTAGAAGTATAAAAGAGTGCCCAAACTTTAACCAGATGTTAAAGCATCTCTGCCAATCATAACCTTATATTGCCCATGGGCACCCAGTGACATATTTCAACATAAATAATCAAAGATAAAGAATAGCAAAGGAAAATAAAACATTAAAAATAAACTACAAGTGAAAAGGTGTGAAATTATCATCCAAGGGAAATATTTTAAAGTTATTCGATGAAGAGATAAATGGTATATAAACACATTTACAATTCTTAATGTTAACCATTTCACTGCACTATATGTTGATGATAATAGCAAAATTTTGTGATATTGTAGAGAAAATGAAATATATATAAACATTTTCCTGAAAAATATTTTTGATATTCATTTAGGAGGATCTAGATATAATGCAACTGGAATGTGAAAACTGTAAGACAAAAAACAGAATTGTTAAACTTAACATGAAAATCACCTTGCAGAGGAACCTTCAGAGTCCAAGTGCAAATAACTATATTAAATAACAAAATTAAAGATTATATTTTTCGGAAACTACGTACTTTTGGGAAATTTCTTGTCAAATTTCATCCACTAGTTTTATTTTTGACAAAAATATAATGAGAGCAATTTTACCTACTGACAATGCACATAGCCAGGTCTAATAGGGTTAATATCAGTCAATTAACAATCTAGAAAAGGAACATGTTTTGTCAATACAGTTAAGAATTAAAACCAATTTAGTTGAAGTTTGAGGTCTATGTCTAAACCAGAAAATTGACAAGATTTTTCTCTGTAGTGTCTAGAATATTCTTGTGAATATTCTATCTCTCTATCAATCATCAACAAGAACATATATACTTTATCAAATGCTTTCTTCAACCATATTATTCATAAAAACAGGACATTTACCGAAAAACCTTAGTCTGAATAAAGACTCTCTTAACAAAATTACCATTTCAGATGATACTGATCTGTCATAAGATAAGACAAATATACAAAGTGGAACATGCAATCATAAATGATTTTACAGAAAGAGAAAATATCTTGGTAATGCTATATATGACTCTAACTAAGTTACAGAAAAAAAATTATAAAATTAAGACAGGAAGTCTGTAGTGCCTTATCAAAAACATGTTACTACCAAGAAATTTAATAAAATGCTATACTATAGTGAAATTTAGTGACAAAAAGTCAAAGGTTAAACAGTTTTTCAAAAATATAAATCTAGGTAACATCATCATCATCAGAAGAGCTAAAATAAAGATAAAACAGACACTAAATGAATTTAAAAATATAAAGCAAAATTTTACAAATACTACTTGAAAACCTCAAACCATCATATACACAAGCTTGTGAACTATACAAATTAATTAAACATAAAGTAAACAATCTTTCATGGACAATTATTTCACAGCATACCTCACACTTTAGTCCCAATTGCTTGAAAGAACAATACAACCTCTTATATATGAAGAACCAGCACATCTTAGTAGTACAGATGAGTTTATTTCAAGGTTGAAAAATGACACTCCATCAATTGCATCTCTCACCCTTCTTTTTACTCTGCACATAGTTTTTAAATATCCTTCTAGTTCTCTCCAAGAGGGTATACAAGCTATGATGGATTTTATAAGATAAAATTGTTCTATTGTCTGAACAAGGTGTTATTTCACATTCTGACTTTGTACATTTCTTCACCCTCCTATTGTTCAAACAAGGTGTTATTTCACATTCTGACTTTGTACGCTTCTTCACCCATGAAGAAACCTACAACGTCAAAGTAAAATAATACCTTTAAACAATAGGAGGGTGAAGAAACCTACAAAGCCAGTAAGTAAAATAATACTTTGTTTAAACAATAGGAGGGTGAAGAAACCAACAATTTCAAAGTAAAATTATAATTTCTTTAAACAATAAGAAGGAGAAAAAACGTACAAAGTCAAAGTAAAATAACACCTTGTTTGAACAATAGGACCTCCTATTGTTTAAACAAAGTATTATTTTTACTTTGACATTGTTGGTTTCTTCACCCTTCTATTGTTTAAACAAGGTATTATTTTACTTACAGACTTTGTAGGTTTCTTCAACCTCCTATTGTTTAAACAAAGTATTATTTTTACTTTGACATTGTTGGTTTCTTCACCCTTCTATTGTTTAAACAAGGTATTATTTTACTTACAGACTTTGTAGGTTTCTTCAACCTCCTATTGTTTAAACAAAG